CCCCAAAACCCCAAAACCCCAAAACCCCAAAACCCCAAAACCCCAAGAAGCCCAATTAGATGGGATGCAGATTGATATTGAAATATAATCTAATTACTTTACAATAAAGTCTCAATTTAAATAAAACTCATTTGATCATTTTTACTCTTGCATATCAAATATTTACGTTATTTACTTGCCGTCTTGGCTAACCTCCTCCTAGCTAAGGCTTCGAATTCACTTATGATTATCTTACTGGCTAGACCGGATTCACAATAGACTACTATGAAGCTTCAACCTGCGTCCTTTGTTGATTCAATTGATTTAGCTGACTGTTATTTATCGATTTCTGCTAGCTTAGTGAAGCATCCTGATTATTCCTAATCTGCTTCTGCTTATAAAGTTTATCTGCTTGCATCTCAACTTATTATTTGACATTCTTGACTTCATCCATGCTCTGGTCTAAGAGTGATGAGTTGCCCTCAGCATAGTGATCTTTAATTTCCTCATGTTGAGGTCTTCTATTTTATCTCTTGTCACTAATTTCAGGTCCCTATAAGTTTCGTGTCTTAATGACTTAATTGTCGTCTAAATCATTGGTATCATTCCTTGGCCTTGGATTTTTACTTTGCTTATCATGAATTAGTTGAAGCTTATCTGTATTTTAATTATCATTAAGCCCTCCACCTACACCCGCATTATGACTACTCTTCTTGTTTTCTAATTAAGGGTTCTATTATTGCTACTACTATTATTACTGCTGCTGTTGAATCATAGATAGTACATCTGAAGCCTTGATTGGCTTATTGGGTCTTTGATGAAAACCATCTGTCTTTTATTCTTTATCTGACTCACTGTCTTCTGGTGACTTATCTCTGTTGTTAGACCTTCTCTAAGGAGAGTCTTCACTATCTGAATTCTCATTGATCTTTCTATTAGACTTTCCTCTAATTTTTTTAGCGCTTTCACTATCTTGGCTGTCTTTACGTTATCTATTAATTTTCCTTCCAGTTTCCTGCTCAAAGTCTTGATCCTCATAGTCGTCCCTATTAGTATCATTATTGGGTTCATCAGTGATAAAAAATGCTCCATCGTTTTTATTTATACTTTCCTCCATTATAGTGACATTCTAGCTATGACCAGAATACCCACCCTGCTTTGTGTTATTAATGCCATCTCTTCCAATAAGCTTACTAGATTTTTCCTCAAGCTTTGCTTGTTCAAATCTCTTAGTCTCTAGTTCATCTTCTCTACTTTAAAACAGCTATCCATACTGCTCCCCCTGCTACCTTAGCTTTTCGATTTCCTTTGCTTTTTACTAGACATCGAAAGCATGCTTCTTCTTGTTTGCTTGGATTTGTGTCTCTAGGAATCTTTTGCGCTTTTTCAGCTGTTCTCTAGTATCTTCATTCTTATTGAATTCGTCTCCATTATTTTAGGAATTCTAATGCATGAATCTCTAGATTTCATCTTCAGTGATGCCCAATTGCTTTGCAGTTTTCTCTATCTACCTTACTCTTTCAGTCCAATCTTGATGCTTTGCCTCTTGCTACTCTTTCATTTCAATTGCTTTGGAGTATTGAATCGACACCACTCTGTGCTTATCAGCTAACTAATTGAGGTTACGAGAAGCCATCTAGACATCCTTCATGTTCTCAGGCTCACCTTGCTTGATAATCTTATCTAGTCTCTTTTCTCTACGGTATTGATCTATCTATAGTGTTTTCTGCTCCTTGTTTAATATCTTGAGTCTTGATTCGAGCTCCGAGTTCTTCATCTTGAGTTAAGACAAATAAGTGGGATCTCCAATTCTTTCCATTTTCTTTTGGAGTTGCTCAAACTCTGAGAAGAGATTCTTAGTAACCTTGTCGCTGTTCTTCAACTCTTCATCCCTTGTTCTCAGAGTCACATCGACACTCTGCTCCTTCTAAGGCTTCTTCTTAAGGTCTAAAAGCAATTGATTAAATAGTAAGTGTTATACTGTAATCTTTGATTTAATCTATGAGTTCAGTCAGACAGGAGTTTAAGTTCTTTAGTTGAAGTCGCAAAACTTAATTCTCGTTTTTGACTCTTGCATCTTCATTATCAAAACTCTATTAACACATTGAAATCGATATGAAATTACCTTATTCGATTAATCCTCATTTTACATTTAAGTCAGTTTCTTTTCTACAATGATTACTATTAATAACGGATGTAACTTACTCGCTTCATCAATTGATCTTTCAATCATTTCGAATCTAGAAACGTTCTTAGGAATACTTCTGAATCTAGCATTTCCTCCTGCACTTTGATACATCCCATTCGGCATTTAACTTTTGACCATCAAGTTATTGGAGTTTTATTATTCACTGCTTATGCTTTTAGGTCCTCCAGCGTTCTTATTTCCCTATTTAGAGCTGTCCTGAAATGTGTTATTTTGGATCAAAGAGTTTTAATTAGATTTTTATGCTGCTAATCCTACTCTATCAACACTACTTCTCAGAGCCTACTAAAGTTATTAGCTTATTTATCAATTGGTTTTGATGGGAACTTACTGCTTTCCTCTTTTCACTCTAAAGATCTGATGCTTTTTCGAAACTGCACTATAATCTGATTTACCCAGCTGGCTTGCCTTTGAAGTTCAATGTATACCAGATAGGCTCACTCTTCTAATTTTTAGAAGTAATTATGTTCATATCAGCACCATTTAGCTAGCAGGAACCTACTTCTTCGCTTTATCCTACATCCTCATCCATAACCTTCACCTTCATAGTCTCATTTGTATTAATTATACTGAACTGCAGTTCCTAATTCCAGGTTGGATTTTTTCCTGAGCCATTATGAGTTTTCGATTTCACTTGTTTTCCCTAATGCTCAAACAATACAAAGCAGTCCATGTTTCCAATCATATCAGTATCTCTGTTCAGTTTAGCATCCATAACTTTTACAGTCATTCTTCCTATTTCTGATGCACTGCTTTGCCCGTTCTATTTGAATTATCTAAATTACTTAAAATGTAACTTACTAAGACAGGTTATTTCTTAAGAGTTACAAGTGAATTATTAGCACTAAGAGTTTAATTATTCAAAGGCGAATTGACAGATTGAACGACAAGACTCCCACTACTAAATTACATTATATTTACGGCTCAACTTACTAATGATCTTGCTTTCCATTGATAACAAGCTTATTTTTAGCCTAAGTGATTTTTTTTGAATGTAACTACGCACCACTTGACTGATTATTATCTATCGTTTTCTAACAATTGATTTATTTCTAAATGTATAAGTATTTACTATTGCATTTGCATTTCTGTTAATTTTCTAAGGACTTCTATTAGGATTGTTTTAGGCGTTATTTGGGGCAAAATCATCCTGATCAAAGTCCTCTTCATAGTCACTCATTGTTTTTAGCTTTTTTATTATAATTTAATTATTTTATTGATAAGCCCCCTCTCAATAAATTCATAAATAAGACTCAAGGGGTTTTGGGGTTTTGGGGTTTTGCCCCAAATAACCCC